GCCTGCCTCAGCTTCAGCCTCAGCCTCAGCCTGCCTCGCTTGCCTCATCCCTCAGCCTCAGCCTGCTCGCTCAGCCTCAGCCTCAGCCTGCCTCAGCCTCAGCGTCAGCCTCTCAGCCTGCATCAGCCTCAGCCTCAGCCTCAGCCTGCCTCAGCCTCAGTCTCAGCCTGCCTCAGCCTCAGCCTGCCTCAGCCTCAACTTCAGCCTGTCTCGGCCTCAGTCTGCGTCAGCCTCAGCCTCAGCCTGCCTCAGCCTCAGCCTGCCTCAGCCTCAGCCTCAGCCTGCCTCGGCGTGCCTCAGCCTCAGCCTCAGCCTGCCTCGGCCTCAGCCTGCCTCGGCCTCGGCCTGCCTCAGCTCGGGCATTCAAAATATGGCACAGGACTGGCGTTCTGGGAACACGAAGATCATGAAGTGGCCCACAGTTGGCTCCGGGCAATGAAAATATGGTACAGGAATGGTGTTCCGAGAACACGAAGAACACGAAGTGCCCTACAGTTGGCTCCGGGCATTCAAAATATGGCACAGGACTGGCGTTCTGGGAACACGAAGATCATGAAGTGGCCCACAGCTGGCTCCGGGCACTCAAACTGTGACCTGGGAATGGTGTTCTGGGAAGACGAAGAACACGAAGTGGCCTAGAGTTGGCCCCGGGCATTCAAAATGTGGCCTGGGAATGGTGTTCTGGGAACACGAAAAACACGAAGTGGCTTAGAGGTGGCTCCGAGCATTCAAAATGTGGCCTGGGAGTAGTGTTTTGGGAGTGGATTCCTAAGGATTCCTAAAGATTTCTGGGGCTGGCGGAGCCGTCCGGTTCCTTGTCCGGCTCCCGCCCAGACCCCCTTGGGGCGTCAAGATGCTTTCTTTTGAGACCACTAGAAACCTATCAGCAAAAGCTGTTAGGTAATGACGCGGAAAGATGGGGTCGGGGGCTCTGGGCGTCGGATCTCAGGGAACGACAAAACAACATACAAACTCGGAGGTCCGCGCGGACCTCCGAGTTGTTATGTTTATGTCATTCTTCGTTCCCCTAATGTCAGGTCCAGGAGGGGCTCTGATTTTCGGACCCTTTTTCATAGATCCAGGTCGGGGAACCCATGTACTGCCGAGGCTCGCGGTAGCCCGAAAAGCCTTGTCGTGTTTGTATTGCGTGTTTTTTATATGGTCACACGAGGGCTGGATTGCCAAGCGCAGAGTGCCGTGGGTGATCACACAGGCTTCTATAACAAAGAGGGGTGGTCTGATTTTTGGGGAGCTCTGATTTGAGCTGTCTTGGAGGGTTTCGAGGGGTCTGGGCAAAGGGCAGCCCTGTCATTGCTGCTCTGGGGAGGTCCGTCCAGGTGGGTTGTGGCACCCTCCCGTGTGTATCGTAAGATGTGGGGTGTTCCAAACTTCCTAATGACGGGGAGGCGGTCACAGCCTTCGTAGGCGGGCAGTTCCAGACCCCCCAAAACAAGCCATTAGAGGGCGGCCTTTTGCCGAGACCCCCTGGAACCCTCCAAGGTAGCTCCAAGCAGACCCGCCCCCAAATGTGCCCCCCCCCCCCCCCTTCATCCTACAATCCGGAGTACTTTTGACGATTAAATGCTAACATCAAGTCGGGCATGCCCTTCTACAGGAGGAATATTCAAAAATAGCCTAAAAATAGTCTGGGGAAGATTTGTCGTGCTTTTTGAACTATTTAAAACATGTTTCGACTCTCTCGCAGTTCCCTTCCAAAGTCCGCCTGTACGAGGACATGCCCGACCTAACACCAAATACTCCATGCCTCCCCAACGTGGTGTTGGAGGATCGGGCCTCGTCGCTGATGCATCGCCGATGCGGCTCGATGCGGAGCCTGATTTTTCCGCGCCGACGGCGCCGATGCATCGCCGGCGTCGCCGATGCATCTCCGATGCATCGGCGTTGCATCGGCGATGAGGCGCGATCCTCCGACCCCATCTATTCGGCCCCTCTGGGGAGGCCGCCAACTATCTCTTGGGTCAGGGGGACAGGCTACACAAAGAGGCATGAGACATCGCGCCGCAGCCTCTCAAGCCACGACCGCGCAGTGCCGAACGCCCCACGCGGTGTCAGAAAACAGCGCGCAGAAGGCGACGTCATGCACCTGCCGCCGTCACAGGACCGCACTTCGAGATGCAATTGCGCCCCAGCGGAGGTTTTGTGGGCGCCTGCCCTGTGCCCGGCTGCCCTGTGCCTGCCCTGTGCCCGGCTGCCTCCGGGCTACCTCCCGGTTGCCCTGTGCCTGCCCTGTGCCCGGTTGTGTGTGTGCGCCTGCCCTGTGCCCGGCTGCCTCCGCGCTGCCTGCCCCCAGCTGCCGCCGCCGGCTCCCCGCCCTGGCGCCCGCCCTGCCGCCGCCCGGGCTTGCTCTGAATGGGCCCAGCTGCCCCTCTTTCTTCCCCGCCCGCGCCGGGCTTCCCAGACATGATCGCGTCGTTTAGAAATCAGCACGGGAGGTCTTGGACTGTTTTCGGCCTCCCTCGGGGGGCCCTCGCCGGGACCCGGGACCGTCAAAAAACGACTCAGGACGAAAAACGGGTCCCGGGGACAGGGCCAGGACTTCCAGGGACGCCGTGCCGAAGAAATCCGGACGTCGCACGTCTGGGCTCCACTCTTCCCATGCGCACCGCGTCGGAGGGCACCAACTATACACCAACACCGATCCTGGCCCAGGATCGGTGTTGGTGTATAGTTGGTGCCTTCCTACCGCGGCCCAAGTTGCATTCTGTGCGTCCCACTTATGCCACCTCGCCGGAGCAGCACTTCTGCCCAACCGCCGAGGAAACGATGTGAGCGCGCTGCCCTCTCGTCCGCCGTCGTCTTCGGCGCCCTGGCGGGTTCGCCGGCGCTGCTGCCTCACCGGGTGCGGCCTCTGCGGTGTCCCCCGCCGCCATGGCGGACCGTTGTTCCCCTTTGGTCCCCGTCGTGCCCTGCTGCCAGTCGTCTGGCCGTGGCATCCCTGCAGTTTCAGTCCCGCCTGCGTCCTTTCCCCGCCTTCTGGTCACATCGTTTTCATGCCAGTCGGCTCCGTTCGTGCGCGCTTCCTCGCCTGACCCCCCCCTTGCTCCACACTTGGGATAGCTTGTGGCCAGTTGCTGGCGCTGCTTGTTCCAAGCGACCTGAGGACTCGGCCTCTAGACCCGCGTGCTCGGCCGCTCCTTTGCTTTTTCTACCCTCTGTCGCTGCGCGCGGGGCCGCGACGCCAAAAATAGTGTGTATGTGTTGTGCGTGTTGTGTGTGTGTTGTGTGTGCTGTGTGTGTTGTGTGTGCCGTGTGTGTGTGTGTGTTATGTGTGTATGTGTGTATGTGTGTGTGAGCGTGTGTGTGTGTGTGTGTGTGTGTGTGCATGTGTGTGTGTGTGCGTGCGTGCGTGCGCATGTGTATGTGAATATGTGTGCGCGTGTATGCGTGTGTGGCGTGCGTGCGTGCGTGTGTGTGGGTGTGATGTGTCTGTGCGTGTGCATGTGTGTGTTGTGTCTGTTGGGTGTGCTGTGTGTTGGTGTGTGTGTTGTGTGTTCAGTGTGTTTAGTGTTGACTGGGTTGACTGTGTGTTGTGTGTGCGTGTGTGTGCGTGTGTGTGTGTGTGCGTGTGTGTGTGTGTGTGTGTGTGTGTGTGTCTGCGTGTATGTGTTCCTGTGTTTGTGTGTTTGTGCGTGTGTGCGTTTGTGTGTGATGTGTGTTGTGTGTCTGTTGTATATTTTATATTTGTGTGTTTGTGAATATGTGAATGTGTGTCTTTGTGTGTTTATGTATTCGTACGTTTGCGCGTTTGTGTGTTTGTGTAGTTGTGTAATTGTGTTTGTGTGTGTTTATGTGTGTGTTGTGTTTGTGTGTGGTTGTGTGTGTTTGTGCGTTTGCTTGTTTGTGTGTGTGTGTTGTGTGTGTGTCTTGTGTGTTGTATGTGTGCGTGTGTATGCGTGTGTGTGTGCGTGTGTGTGTGTGCGTGTGTGTGTGTGTGCGTGTGTGTGTGTGTGCGTAAGTGTGTGCCTGTGCGTTTGTGTATGGTTGTGCGTTTGTGCGTTACTATGTGTTTGCGTGTGTTTGTGTGCTTGTCTTTTTGCGTCTGTGTGTGTGTGTCTGTGTTTTTATGTGTTCGTGTGTGTGTGTGTTTGTGTGCTTGTGCGTTTGGGTGTTTGTGTGTGTGTGGTGTTGTGTTTGTGTGTTTGCGCGTTTGTGTGTGTGTGTGCGTTTGCGTGTTTGTGTGTTTGTGTGTTTTGCGTGTGTTTGTGTGTGTTTGTATGTGTTTGTGTGTGTTTGTGTGCTTGTGTGTGTGCTTGTGTGTTTGTGTGTGTGTTTGTGTGTTGGTCCACTGCCTCACTATGCGATGGGTCGCATGCGGGCGAGAGAACGCCAGCCCTGGGCAGCCTGAGCCTGAGCGAGGAGGGAGCCAACTGGGATATCTGGAAGACACTTGCAGTTTGTGTGCTTGCGTGTGTTTGTGTGTTTGTGTGTTTATGTGTGTGTTTGTACGCGTGTGCGTGTGTGTTTGTGTGTTTGTGTGTGCGTTTGCATGTGCCTGTGTGTTTCTGTGCGTTTGTGTGTGTGCTTGTGTGTGTGTGTTTGTGTGGTGTGTTGTGTGTGTGTCTGTGTGTGCTGAGTGTGTGTTGTGTGTTGTGTGTGATTGTGTGTTCGCGTGTGGATGTGTGTTTGTGTGTGTGTGTTTGTGTGTGTGTTTGTGTTTGGTGGTGTGTGTATGTGGGTCGCTCTATCTTCGGATGGGGCGTGACTCGGCCAGGGGGCCAGGCTGAGCTCGGCGAGGCTGGACTCGGCCGAGGTCGGACTCGGCCCAGGCCGGACTCGGCCCGTCAGAGTTTGGCTTGGGCTGGACTCAGCCCGGCCGATTTCGGCTGGGACCGGCTTCGGCCATGCAGGGCTCGACCGGCGGAAGCGGGCCCGCCGGACTTGGTCGGCTCGACTCGGCCAGGCCGAGCTCGGCCGGCCGAGTTCGGCCTGGCCGAGTTCCGCCTGGCCGAGCCGGGTGCTTGCTCCTGGGAGCCCGTCAGGCACGCGGCTCGCGCAGACAGCGGCCCGCTCGCCATGCACGGGCGGGCCACCCTGCCAGGCCGCGCGGAAGCAGAAAAGGGTCTGGTCCGCGCTCGGGTGAGTGGAGCTCCTGCAGGTCATGCCCGGGAGGCCCGAGCGCTGGCCGGGCTCCTTGCGGCCCCGAGGCGGCAGAGGGTCAGTTCTCGGGTGGCCCTGGTGGCTCTCGAGCAACCCCGAGATCCGACGTCGCGCAGAGAAGAAAAAGCACTGCAGAGTGTCACGACCGGGGCCCTCGGCTCCGTCTTGCTGCGCCGTTCTTCGAGCCACATCGGTATGTGGTGTTTTAGGGGCCGGCGAAAACGCCCGGCCCGAAAAACTAGAGACGCCAGGGTATCGGGGAACGCCCTTGGAGCCCAGTGCTGACCTGATCCCAGATAGGCGACGTCCTGATTCCATGCCGGTGCGGGCTCCCCGGAAGTCCCGACTCTTTCCACAGGGCCTGCTTTTCATCCGGAGTCGTTTCTGGACGGTCCTGGGGCCCAGTGAGGGCCCCCTGAGGCCGAACCGAAAACATGGAAACGCTTCCGTCCAGATGTTTCAGCACGTTGCTTGTCTAAAGTCGGGCCTGTCCCTCTACAGGAGGGATGTTCAGACAGAGTCAAAAGATAGTCTGGGAACGATTTGTTTTGACTATGTGTGAGCATTTTGGGGGTATGTTTGGGGTATTGTCTTATGTTTCGCCCGCAATCCCCCTGCAGGGGGGACAGGCCCGACCGAACGCTTGTCTGGGACGGCCTCCCTGCCCCCATGTGGGGCCGGGCCTCCCGGCTGGGGCCCGAGCAGCCGGAGTCTGAGCCCTCGCGCCGCATCGCCGACGGCGCTGCGGCTCGGTGCGGATCTTACAGTCGGGCAGCTGAAGAAGGAAGCCTTTTCGTTGGGGAGAGGCTCAGCCTTCCTGATCATTTTTTACAGTTTGTCCCGGGTCGTCCTCAAGGTTGTCCACGGGCATCGAAGCTTAATGCATGGGGGAAAAGGGGCCTCGTTCCTGACTTTATGGTTCCTTATGACAGCTTGTCGACTGCATTTTCTCCACGCCGACGGCGCCGACGCATCGCCGACGTCGCCGGTGCATCGCCAATGCATCGCCGTTGCATCGACGACGCGGCGCGATTTTCTGGCCCAGGCCTCCGACGCCACGATCTGTTCTCAGCGTCGACCCCCGGAGGTCTCGACCTAGCCCCCAGGATCGGCCTCTCATCCCGAGTCGTGTTTGACGGTCCCGAGGCCCGATGTAGGCCCCAGGAGGCCGAAGATGGCGAACGATCTTCCGTCATGTTTTTTTCATGACCCGAGGGGGTCTGGCGGTCTGGCTCTTCTCCGACCCTGTCTACGAGGCCTCTACTATAAGACGGCGCGCCCGGGGCGGGGGTGGGGGGGGGGGCATCACGGAAGGCGGTGGGGCTTCTCGGGGGCTTCCGCGCCTTCCTTGAGAAACGTAGCAACTTCTCGGAAGGCCCGAGGCTTTCCGAGCCTTTTGAGTAAACCCGCCCCTCTGCCTTTTTCCCCTGGGCCCGCTGCCGAACGGTGCGCCCCCCCGCCCTCTCCAGCACACCCCTCGCACGCATCGTGGTTCCAGCTCCACCGACGGCCCCAGTGGGCGCGACCGCGTGGTGCCTCCGCCCCACGTCGGCGCACCGCCGACGCCCCCCCTCTGATGTCCCCCCCTCTGACTCTTCCCTCCTCTAACCTGCCTTAGGTCGGGCATGTCTCTCTACAGGAGGAGTCTTCGACAACAGTCACATCGTCTGGGGACGAGTCTTCGGGCTGTTTTCACTATTTGGAGCATCTGTTCCAAGGGCTCCCTCGAGGGCGCGAAGTTATTCGCGCTTCGCGGTCCTCGTTCCTTCTCCTCCTCCTCCTCGTCCTCCTTTTCTCCCTTTGGGAGGGCGGCGCGAGAGCGCGAAGTTATTCGCGCTTCGCGCTTCGCGCAGCGCGAAGCGCGAAGTTGGGAGCCCTAGCTGTTCTGTCCTAATTGTCATATTTTTCTTCCAGAGCCCGCCTGTAGGAGGACACGCCTTGCCCGGCCTACCCTTAGATCCGACGTTACAAAGAAATACAGCATCGCAAAAAATCACGCCTGGAGCCCCAGACCCCATCGTTCTGCATCATGTTTCGAGCCGATGGCCCGAAATTGAGCGAACACGCCCGTTGTGAAAAAAAATGCAACGCCAATCTCAGGGCCCAGACCCCCGACGTCATGATTTTCTCATGACGTCGACCCCCAGCGGTCCGGACCCCTTCCCCAGGACCGGTCTCTCATCCTGAGCCGTTTTCTGACGGCCCTGAGGCCCGGCGAGGGCCCCCAGAGGGCGAAAAGGGCGACAAACCTCCCGTCCTGGTCTCTTCCCTGCTCGGGTCTGGGGGGCAGGGCCAGCCGCCGATCTCAGGCCACGCTCCCGGCCTGCCGCCGCCGCCGCCCGGGGCTCCCCCCCTGCCGCCCCTCGGCACGCTGCTGCCTGGGGGGCAGGGCCAGCCGCCGATCTCAGGCCACGCCCCCGGCCTGCCGCCGCCGCCGCCCGGGGCTCCCCCCCTGCCGGCCCTCGGCACGCTGCTGCCCGCGGCCCCGGGGGGGCCGCCCCTGCGCCTGCCGGCGCCGGGCCCGCTGCTGGGGGTGCCGACGTCGCCCGGGGGCGCCGCGCCCTCGTGGAGCTCTCGCGCGCCTCGAACCCCCGAGATCCAACGCACCTAACAGCGATGTGTAGGAGCATATCTGGAAGCATTCCCCTTAAGATTCAGATGAGAATCCAGTTGTAGAATTCTGCTGTTCTCGCAGTCGTAGTCGCATTCGCAATGACAGTCGCAGCGGCAACGGCAGTCGCAGTCACAGCCTCAGCCTCAGCCTTCCTCAGCCTCAGCCTCAGCCTGCCTCAGCCTCAGCCTGCCTCAGCCTCAGCCTCAGCCTGCTTCAGCCTCAGCCTCAGTCTGCCTTCAGCCTCGGCGTCAGCCTCAGGCTGCCTCAGCCTCTGCTGCCCATACCCCTCACCTCAGCCTCAGGCCTGCTCATTCAGCATCAGCCCACCTCATCAGCCTCCAGCTCAGTCTGCCTTGCAGCCTCGGCCTCAGCCTCACTGCTCAGCCTCAGCATCAGCCTGCCTCAGCATTCAAAATGTGGCCCGGGAATGGAGTTCTGGGTACTCGAAGAGCACGAAGTGGCCTACAGTTGGCTCCGGGCATTCAAAATGTGGCCCGGGAATGGAGTTCTGGGAACTCGAAGAGCACGAAGTGGCCTACATTTGGCTCCGGGCATTCAAAATGTGGCCCGGGAATGGAGTTCTGGGAACTCGAAGAGCGATTTTGCGAGGATTCTCAGGCGATTTGGGTTGTCGGCAGGTAGAGCGCCGGCAGATCGCCGATCGCCGCCGTCCGGACCCCTGAAGAGTCATCTGCTGCTCTCATTTTTGCCCTACTAAAAACCTATCAATCTTCGCTATATATATATTGGTTAAAAAAAATATATGTCTATTAATAATATCCGTTCCAAAGCCACCCTACCATAGCGATGTGTAGAAGCATATATGAAAGCATTCCCCTTAGATTCAGATGAAAATCCAGTTGTAGAATTCTGCTGTTCTCGCAGTCGTAGTCGCATTCGCGATGACAGTCGCAGCGGCAACGGCAGTCGCAGTCACAGCCTCAGCCTCAGCCTGCCTCAGCCTCAGCCTCAGCCTGCCTCAGCCTCAGCCTGCCTCAGCCTCAGCCTCAGCCTGCTTCAGCCTCAGTCTCAGTCTGCCTTCAGCTTCGGCCTCAGCCTCAGCCTGCCTCAGCCTCAGCCTCAGCCTGCATCAGCCTCAGCCTCAGCCTGCCTCAGCATCAGCCTGCCTCAGCCTCTGCCTCAGCCTCAGCCTCAGCCTCAGCCTGCGGCACTGCGGGCAAAGCGGTTCTTGTCCGCCGCAGCCCGCGCCGCGCGCGCGCCCGATCGCGCGGCGCGACGCCCGTCCCCCTGCCTCAGAGGTCCTCTAAAGGGGCCTCAGGAGGGGGCCTCAACACGCCTCTGGAAACCTGGCCCGCAGACGGGGGTGAGAGGAGCCACAGGGGCCAGGAAGGGACCTCAAGGGCCTGGGAGGAGAGGAAAGCGGAGCCAGGGTCCAGGCACTGGGGCGGGCCTAGATTTGTACTGGGCCCGCCGCCCCCCGACCACCACCTCCAGAGTGGAGTACGTACTCCTCCTCGCTCGAAAGACGCGGAGGTGGTGGTGGGGGGGGGCAAATGTATTGTAGGGTTGTGGGCCCCCACCCCTCACCAGGAGAGAAACAAAGCCTGCGTGGGCGCGAGAAAGGAACGGAGGGGGGGCCCACAACCTTCTCGGGGGGGGAGGGGGGGCGTCCCGCGGGCCCAGGTGTCAAAGGATGAAGGTGGTCTCTTCCCCCTCGCGGCCGCCTGCGCCCCCAGGTCCGTTCCTGGGGGCCGGCACGCTCACCGCGAGGGGGTGATCACCAACCTGTACTCCGCGGGGTGGTGCTCACCGTGGTTGTCGTTCGGGGGGCCACGGGGGCGTTCGCGTGCGTGCTCGGCGCCTTCGCGTGGTGGTTGCCCCCGTTGCTCTTCTTGTGCCCCTGTTACGGGCTGTGAGGATGTCTCCTGGCCATGTGGAGTCGGTGGTCCAGGTCCAGGTCGCGGCTCGAGGAGTCCAGCTTGACGAAGTTGCTCAACGCCTTCGTGATGCTGGCGTGGCTGGTGCTGCGCTGTCTCCAGGAGTGATGCCCCACCACCGACTTCCGTCCCAGTAGCCTCGATGACCCCCGTCGGTCGGTACCCTCTGCCTCCCAAGCGCCCCATGGGCTGGGGAGGTGGACTATGCCTACCTCCCAAACGCCCCGTGGGCTGGGGAGGTGAGCAGTGCGTGCCGACGGGTGTTGAAGAGCATGCAATACTTCCTGGTGGTGCCGCTGGAGGTAATGCTGAAGTCGAAGATGCCAGCCTGGGAGGTGCGGTCTCTGGTGGAGGCCTCTTGGGAGGGTATCCTGCAAACTGTGTATGTGCCATAGTAGACGACAGCTCCTTCTGGATCTCCTCCGCCGACAGTTGGCCAGCGTACTGTCCAGGTCGCGGCTCGAGGAGCACCGCGCCTGGACGTTCTGACATCCAGCAATCGTTGCCATCATATCCATTATAGTGCCACGTCTGTGCCTTTGTGTATGCGTCGGCGGTGGGCTGGAGTGTTTGCTCTATGGCCTGCGTCAGTGTAGTTGTCGTAGTGATGTCTGCAGGACAGTTGCAAGCAGTGAATGCTGTGGTCGGGGTTGTGCTGCACGTCGTTGTGATGTATGCATATTCCTGTATCTGCATGTGTCGGAGGCTGCTGTCCAGGATGATGGTAGGTGTGCGCATCGTCATCATCCGCTGTGCGGTCCGTAGGACGTGCCGCATGCTGTCGTTGTCTTGTCGTACCGCTCTGTGCTGCGTGGGTGTGAGGTCCAGTCGTCCCCACGGTGCCTCTTGCGTCCTGAGGTTGAGGTCGCGGTCGAAGGTCGTGAGGTCGGCGTCGATGATGCAGAAGGCGGCGTGGTCGTATGGTGTCGTGGCCATGTCGGAAGCCGTTGGATCAGGTTGGGGTGGGTGCGTGGTTGGCAGGTGGTGGAGTTCGATGGAGATGCTGTGTCTGTCTGCGGTGGCTTGGAGGGCGTCGGTCACCGCGCTGGTGTGGTCGTGGTTGGCGGTGAAGAGCAGTACGATGCTGGGCTTTCCTGTGATGTCGGTCATCCCCGTGTCTGCTCGGTTGGGTCCGCTGTCTTGTGTGGTGGGTGCGTCGGTGGGTATTTGGGCTGGTATTGGTCGGTGGTCGTGGTCGGCGTGGGTTGGTGGTCCCAGTGCTGGCCCGTGTAGCTGGATGGGTGGCCGCTCGGCGTAGTCTTCTGGAAGCCCAGCGTGTCGGTTGGATCGTCTTACGCGTCGGGTCTCCTCCTTGTGCGCGTCGATGTCTTCTGTTGGCGGCTTCGCTCCGAACTGCATCAGTGTGGCTGCACACTGGTGTGACGACTTGACGTGTTTGGTAAGTCTGTTCGCGGTGTAGAAGTACTTCAAGCATACCTGGCAGGTGTCGCCGACGATGTAGTTGTCTATGGTGTGCTTGTCCCGGTGGACTGCGTAGACATGCTTGTTGTGTGCTGCTTTGGTCTTGAAGGTAGCACCGCAATGGTAACACATAACTCTGGCTGGTGCTGGTGTCGTGGTTCCTGCTTGTCGGGGTAGTGGCGGCACTCCCAGTGCTGTTGCCGTTAGCGATAGGTCTGCCCGCAGCTGGTCCTGCGCTGCTCGGTCGGAGGATGAGTCTTGTGCGCGCTTGTAGGTGCTCGTAATAAAAGACTTGACCGTGTGCATGTCGTTGCGTGCAGCCTTGATGAAGTCGCTGATGTCCTTGGGTGCGGTGGTGATGCGGGTGCCGTCGCAGTGCTGTCGGCATGTGTGGATGTCGTTGTTGATGGTTTGCGTCCAGGTGCCGTTGACTTCGATGTCGTAGTCAATGAGTGCCTGCGTTTCGTACGGGCATCCTTTTTAGATGGGATGTGGATGATGGGGTGGGGTGGGGAGATTGGGTAGTGTAGAGGGTAGTTAATGTGTTGTGGCGGGGGGAGTGGAGATTTTGATGGGGGGTATGTGGGGAGCTGAGGGGAAGGATATGGGATATGGTGTGTGGTGTTGAGTGTGATTGTGGGAGATTGGCTGTGAATGGATGGATGTATGTCATGTATGTACTGGCTTGGTGTATGGGTTGTTGGGGGTGGGGGTTGCCTCAGGTGATTTATGTGGTGGTTGTGGCACCTGTGGGGCTTTGCGGTGATGACCCCAGGGTGTGTTTGATGGGGGAGGGGTATGGGGGGGATTATGTTATGGATGGGGCGGGTAGTCCAAAAGTTCTTCTCATTCGTTTGAATGTGGAATTGTGGGTGTGGAGCCATCGTAGTCGGTCTTCGAGGTTCGGTAGTTGAGCACGTGCCAGTATCTGCTCGTTGGTGATGTGCTTGTCCTTCATGGCCTTGTGGGTGATTCCTATTGCCTGTCGAGCCGCAGTGACGTAGGCTGTGTTGATCCTGTGGTAGTCCCGCGCTGTTGTGATGAGCCATGTCCCCGCGTTAAATAGCAGTCTTGAATAGCCGAATGACTCGAGGTAGTGGATCTTAGTCTGGATGGAGATGGCTTGTCGTTGGAACAGGGTGCGTCGGAGTGGGCCTGTTGTCTCGCGTAGCGCGATGGTGCGTGCTGCCGTCTCCTGGCCCATGTCGTTCCTGTCGTTGAACATCGCGCCCAGCAGCTTGGTGCATCTAGCGATGGTGACGCAGAGCCCCATGTCGGTGATGCTGTGGTTGTCCCGTATCATGGTCCGTGTAGCTCTTTTGCCTGCGACGGTGTTGGGGTAGACGATGAAGCTGGACGTCTTGGTGTTGATCGGGAGGCCTCTTCGCAGTGTCGCGCGTATGAGATGTCCCCACATCTTGGTGATGAGTGCATGGATCATGGTGCCGTCTGCCGTGGATGCAGCCGCCTTGACGTCGTCTACGAAGGATGTAGAGGACAGTGTAGCGTTGTGGTCGCAAGCTCGTAGACGTGGTGGGGCATGCGGTATGTCGAAAGTC